TGTCTGACAAAGCAATCCAGTCACCGAAGCTGCTCATTCTGTCGGCACCACGAGCACGGGCATATGCAACGGCAAGAGGAGTGAGATCCTCTTCAGCGATGTCGTCCACAAAATAGATTTTCTTCTCGACATCAGACAATGGGACAGCGACAGCTGCACCGGCAGGGGAGACATGCTTGAAGCTGGCAGCAGCTGGGAGGGTCAATGAAATAGAAAGCTCCTTAACAAGCGGCCATGAGTTCAGAGCATCAAGCAAGTTAATGTAGCCAGGAGATCCTGCAAGGACCTTGAAAGGAAGTTCACCCTGTCTGACATATGCCTGTGCTGGTTTCTGATGGGGATTAGCACCATAGCGAAGAGTCAACTGCGACTTCGACTCGGCATATCTCTTTCGGAAGAAGTCGGAAATGGCCGCATCGTACTCGGCGGTGTGTTCAAACGCCTATATTTCCATATCAGTAACTGAACTCCACTGAAAGTGGAAACCTGAAGATACTGACTTTCAAAGCATAGCTATTTCGAGCCTCAGCGGTGATCCCGCCTTTGTCAAGCTGCTCCAAGAAGCCTGGATAATCGGAGGGATCGGACAAGATCGTGACGCGAACGTGGTTCTTGGCTGCAGCTCGGAGAAGCGTGACTCCTCCTATGTCAATCTCTTCAACAGCCTCATCAATGGTAACATTGACCTTCGCAATGGTCTCCTTGAAGGGATAGAGGTTGCAGACGACGTAGTCGACCTTGTCGATACCCTGTTCGGCGAGATCATGTTCGTCAGACTCGATATCACGGGCCAGAATACCTGATAACCTCGTTAAAAGCTTGTCCTAATTTTCGCGTTTCATGTTGACTTACCAGCATGAATGGCAGGATGAAGAGTCTTGACACGACCAGACAACATCTCAGGAGCATGAGTGATAGCGCTGACATCTCTATTAATTACTTTGTTAGTGTACAAGGCCCAAAATAGCAGATGTTTGTGTTAACAAAGCTTCAATTTAACGCACTCTACCGGGAAACCAGCTTCGCGAACAAGCTTCGCTGTACCTCCAGACGCCAACAGGCGGATGTTATGCTTGACGAGACCCTTCGCCAAATCTAAAAGACCGGTCTTATCATAGACAGAGAGAATTGCGGTCTTCATTGCTGTTGCTAACGGTGGGGAATGCAGAATTCACAGTCTTCCAGTTTTTCAGTTTTTCTCTCGTGCTATTGCTTGCTATCTCACGATGACGTTTTTCCTCGAAACTCTGAAGCATATGGCGCGTTTATGCCTGAGACTACCCCATTACTGTGCATTTATGCCATCATTATAAATTTGTGAGCGCAGTTCGTGAGCTCCGTTCCTTTTTTTTTTTTTTTTTTTTTTTTTTAACGCTAAAACTATCATTCAATTGGCACAGTAAATTTATTGTGTCGTCAAAGCATTCCTACGAGATGTACCCATTCTTGGCGCATGTCCATGACATATGTGAATATCCTATGGTTGAATGGAGAACAGATTTTATGGTGAATCTTGGGTGCAGCAGGCTTTCTGGTGTTCCTTCGTGGATGCCTAAGGAGTACCCTTCGTGGACCCGGATGAGGCCCGGTGCAATGATTCGCCGAACATTCCTTTTAAGTTCATTCTGTTCTTGTGTCTGTGCTAGTTGTATCTGCGTAGGTTCTGTTTATAATGGCTATGACGGGATGAATACGGATTACCAATGCAAATATTGAACATTTTATCTAAAAAGATCATTGTGATACTATTTTATCACCAAATTTTGGTGTCGGTTATATTGTAAAAGCTCAACTCACCAGTTGGTGAATTGAAGACGTACATTGCAAGTTGCGCTTTTTCCTAACGTGTATAGAACATCGAAACACACATACGAAAGTCGTAGTGGTTGGGCAAAGGCGGTTAGTTGTGGCTTGAAAACAATTTGTGGCTGTGAGTGGCTCTGGCCTGTCCAACTAACCTTGGGTACGGCTTACCCACAGCCGCTGACGATTCCACGCACATCTCTACATCTACTACAACTTCTCGACGCTGCTGTATTGACACGAACTTCACCATGGTAAGCTTCGAATCGAGTGCTTTTAGAATGATTATTTAATAAACTAATTCTCTTTGTAATGATAGACTTCAATTGGTACTGGCTATGATTTATCGAACAGTGTATTCAGTCCAGGTATGCTTACATCGACGACAGAGCACGCATCATCTGTAATAGCACCTATCGTATTGAGAAAGGTTAACTAACTTTTGGATCCGCAGACGGACGGAACTTTCAAGTTGAATATGCTAGCAAAGCAGTTGAGGCTGATGGCACGGCGATCGGAATTAAATGCAAAGACGGCATTGTGTTGGCAGTCGAGAAGATCGTGTCTTCAAAACTACTAGTTCCCGGTGCTAATAAGAAGATCCAGACAATTGACAAGCATATTGGTGTTGTATGTTGTTTTTGCCATGCTTCGCCATGGATTAGATGGTGCCCCGGTACATTTATAGATGCTGACTGTCGTCGATCTGTAGGCATATTCAGGTTTAACTCCTGATGGACGTCATTTGGTCAGTCAGGGAAGATCTGAGGCGTACACGTGGCGGGGTACATACAAGGTTCCCATCAGTGTTACTTCCTTGACGGATCGTCTCGCAGGTTACGTTCAGGCATATACTTTGTACAATTCGGTTCGACCGTTTGGTATCTCGGCCATCGTAGGTGGTGTTGATCACTCTGGTCCGCATCTTTATACAATTGAACCATCTGGTGCTTATTGGGTATGTAATATTTCAATTCTCGTGGGGGAAGTGTTAGCAATAATGCAAGTATTAATTATGATAGGGCTACTTGGGTGCTGCTACCGGGAAGGGCAGGCAGGCGGCCAAGTCAGAGCTAGAGAAGTTAGATCTTCCTAACATTTCTGCCAAAGATGCTGTCAAGGCTGCAGCTAAGATCATATATGCTACACACGATGATTCGAAGGATAAAGATTTCGAGCTTGAAATATCATGGGTCAGTACGTCTGAGACCAAGGGAGTGCACGAGTTTGTTCCCAAGGAATTGCTAGAGGAAGCCGAGCGTCTAGCGAAGGAAGAAGACGAAGACGAAGAGATGGAAGAGGACTAGATAACTCGCAATCTTGTATTATAGCATTTAAACGATATAATGTATCATCCAGCATACACGTATGGTGATTCACGGTTCGCTTCGTGAATTGTCTTATATATACGGTCTTCGCACATATTCGCATGTAGTATATTGGTCTATGGCGATCTCTACTATCATGAGTCAATCCATTTAATTACGTTCAGCTATGTATACATAACATCCTCATACTATAAACTTTCCAACCAAATTTTGACAAAACCCACTTTGAAACTATATAACACAACCTCATACAACCCCATGCAATGGTCAGGCCATCTAACGGTATCTCCACAAGCTGAGAGTGTTGTGCTTCTTCCATGTGTGTCTTCTGCCAGCCTTGGTCTTGGTGTATCCGTGACCCTTCTTGATACCTCTGGAGGCCTTACCAGCTGCAGTAAGACCGCGAGACTCGCGATGCTTGTGGACAGCAGCAATGATCCAGTTGTACTTGGCGTTGTTGCGAATAGCGTTGTGCTGGGGGTCGACGAGGATGACTTCGTAGTATTTGTAACTCGAGTCTTGGTTAACCCAGTACGAGTTCAAGACGCGAAGGTTGGGGCAACGGCGGCCAATACGCTCCTCGGCAGTAGTGCGAAGAGATCGCTGGTACTTGAGCTGGTTAACACCCATGTTAGTGGGCTTACCTATACCCAATTGTTAACGCTATTTCGTTCAATCTATCATTTAGAGTATGCATACCATAAGTGGCACCCTTGTGAACGGGTTTCTTGCGGCCACCACGTCTGACACGGATCCTGTAGATGACGAAACCCTGCTTCGCCTTGTATCCGAGACGTCGAGCCTTGTCGGGACGGGACGGACGGCTAGCACGGTGGATCACATTCAACTGACGGTACTCCCAGCAACGGACCCGAAGAAGGAATCGAAGAACATCGGACTGCTTCTTGCGTTGCAACTATAACAAAGCATGTCAGTATTATCCGGACATCGCATAAAATCCTAGTCATTTCATGCAAAGATCAAAGAATTATAATTACCTCCTCAAGATACTTATAGGCACCCACTATCCAATCGTTAGAACAATTCTCTAAATTTCCTTATAAAATATTTATATCATTCAACAGTCAAATGGACTTACTTGTTACTTGCTGGACCGAATGGTGGTTATCGTATTGTTGAACTTCACCTGGGTTAGTATCTCGACAGAGGCCGTCGCAACTTCACATCAACTAGCACTGTGTTGGTAGATGCGTGGCATAGCGAAGGTAAGCTGCCCTATCATCGATTTGATGTGACTGGTTTTTTAGGGCTTCGATGGGAACAGTTTTGCGGCCGACAACTCTCTCCTCTTCGCATAACTCCCAAAGCAAGTGCCAACTTCCCACAGCAATCAAACCCTAATTTGGAACCGGGTAAGTTTATTTCTAAGGCATTGGTTATATATCGCCGAGTTGCGCTACATACTATTACCTAACTTTACTTTTTATTGAAAAGCCAGTTCATATCTATAAGTACTATTTACAATTGTCTGGCGGACAAAACTTGGAAATAAAGAAGAAACGCAACAAACGAACAAACTTGGGGCAAAAAGTATGGACATTCCTAAAGAGTAAAGCTACCATTTCTCTGGGATATCCATGTCCACATGATTTTGGGCATGAATAATATCGCATTGCCACGGCAAACATCAATAATATGCTGTGAACTTCACACAACCCTAATTTTTTTGATTATACAAAGTTTATTATTGCACAGCGTCCGGCGAAACAAAAGGGAAACGAAAGTGTAATGATATATATAAAGGAAAGTCGAAGCAACGAAAGAAACAAGCATTGTGTTACATCACAAACCCTAACCCATAGTTGGCGATTTGAGGCAAGATTCGTCTACAGTACGTATCTATACGTTGCCTCGGTGGCTTAGTTGGTTAAAGCGTGAGTCTCATAATCTCAAGGTCGTGGGTTCGACTCCCTCCTGAGGCATAATACGAGTCGAGGGACTGGTCTTTTTTTTATTTGTAAAGCTTTTGTGATTTGATGCAATAGCGCATCAAATGTAACGCATTAATACACTTCTAGTAACAACAAATATAATGATGTTATTTAGAATTACCTAGCCGAGTCAATGCCGATCTATGCAAATGTAGTATATATATAACTTTGAAGAAGAATGCTCAGTGTAAGCTTCTGCCTAAACTTTCCAATTTCAACACAACATTTACAAGAAGATACAAAAAACTACAAATACTAATTGACAGCCACGGTTGGTTCTCGAATAGTCTCCGGTTCGGACGCGCCTTCTTGTGTGCCTGGTTCTCGATCTTCTATTACGGACGTCGCAGGTTCAACGTCACCATTCTCATCTATCTTCTCAGATTCAGCTTCTTCAACTTGCAAATCTTCCCAAGACTCTGCGACTGGTTCAGGTTCGGGTTCCTTTCTCGGCGTCGCTTTCACAGATCGCGCTGGGGAAGTACTACGCTGTGCTGAGCCATCAGCTAATGCTGCAAACGAATTCGACGACGCAAATATACCCACGTTCACCAAATTATTCATCGAGGTAGACGGCGTAGGCGTCGAGCTACTCGTCTGCGACACACCCTTCTCGCGATATGCAATAACGTTATCCCTCGTAACCCAACACAACTCCACAACCTCCGCAAGACGCTCCTGCAATATCACAAACTTGCGAAGAACCGGCTTCAGTGTTGCGAGCTCGGCTTCAACTTCTTCGACTCCTAATGACGACGACTTTGGGTGCAGGAGAACATCTTCGTCCGCGATCCATTGTACTGAGAAATGTAGTTGTGAAGACGCTGCAATGACGGGCTCGAGCTTTCGCTCTAGATCGACTCGCGTCAGTCCAATCTGTACAGCTTCGAGTAAGATAGCGTTGTAAGCCTGCTTCGGAGCCTTCCTAAGTTGAGTAGGAAGCGTACGGCTGGATGGAAGTGCACCTTCTTGAGCCCTGGTTTTCAAATATATAGCGTACGATCGAGTCAAGTTTCGCTCTGGTAACGTGGTTTTCGAAGTTCGATGTAGCAGAACACTCCTATGAGGTTCAGGATCTTGAGATTCGCTTTCAAGATTATATGCCTCGGCAAGAGTATGAATAAATTGTCGCTGAGTACGCTTCATGGGTGGGAACGCCAGGGACCGCTTCGGCGGCTTCGCAACGACAAACGAGTCAATAATCTTCTCAATGCTTTCACACCACTGTTTGTTCGTGCCGTAGAGGCGGAGGGAAAGCTCTGTGTGGATTAGCGATGAGTCCTTGCGTGCTTCTGTATTGATCTTGAAAGCTTCTGCGAGTCGATTATTTCGGGCAATGATAGCACATTGGTCGTTACTATAAAACATGTTAAAAGAAGTTTCTCAAGCCAAGGTTGTCGGCAACCAAATCACCTACCACTTCAATTCCCGTTTTGGACTCTTGCTAGTTTTCGTCGCATTACATTTAACAGTAGTCGTCAAATTACCACACGAACAGCTGATCTTAATCAGCGCGGTACAAGGGTTACCTTCCTCGCATTGGAACGGAGAATGACATGGCGTCTCGTCAGGATGTCCGCATGATTTAATTTTCTCGCACGGCTGACGGCACGGGTTTTCGCACTGATTCTCACGGTGACAGACTTTCTTGCAGCGGTGGGAGCCGCAGGCTAGGAGCTTGTTGCAGATAGTACCACATGAGACTTGCTGACGACTACATGGCTGGTTTTTCAGGACATTCTTGCCGCACATACATCCTCGTTCGACAAAGTAGGGGCTGCATAAATTATTAGAATTACTGTTACACAAGAAAGGACTAGGAAATGACTTACCACTTCGGACATTCCTCGTCATCTAAATGGCAGTTATGTCGAACGATAGGATGACCACAAGGGGTTTGCCTTGTGCAGGGATAGTCGCATTTAGGCGGTGTCGTACCGCACGGAATCGGAGGCATACTCTTCGTCCTCCCACAGTGGCAAGTCAATTCATCAAAGCTGGCCTCAAGGCACGGCGGACACGGTCCACGATGACAAGTCATCTGACAATGATGACTCCTACATTTCAAAAGTCGGTTGCAAGTTTGTAGGCAAATATGTTGTGGTTCAATATAGTCCTCGAGATTTTGAAGACTATTGTTGTCTTTATTACGGCGTTGTTTGAATGCTCGTTCTTGACCTGCTCGTTCGGCTGGACAGCAGGGAGTCCCACACTCGTGGCGTTGGCAGTTCAGTTGGATACGGCAAATCCGATTGCATCGGGGTGTTCCGAGAACTAGATCAGCACTGCATGAATGGTCAGTGTATATCCGATAAGCTTACAGAGGACACGTGACATACCATGGCAAGGTAATCTGGTTGTATCCGCACACACAAGGGACAGTGACTTTTTCCAAACATGGCCAACACGTTCCAATATGGCAACCCTGCTTGCAGGAGTGGCCACATGGCAGCGTTTTACCGCATAAATCTTTGCATGTAGGAATAGGATCTGTGCACGTTTCTCTAGGATGACCTAGGATTTCTTGGACAGTATGTCTGGTACACGGGCACGTCACAATAACATCAGGGCTCAGGGGGCAATGAGCCGGCTCTAAATCTTGAGGATGGCAGTCTTTCTGACACTGGTGCTCCCCGCAATCAAAGTACCTATTCCAACCCATTAGTAACCAAGTCACTCCACAAAGCAGATAATGTAACAACTCACCGACAGCAGATATTACTGCACTTGTAGATTCCAGTCCACCATGCTGAATCACCATCCTCGTCGATAAATACACTTCGCTTGGCAGGTAATGTCTGAAAGCACTTTACATCCTTATCCTCCTTACCACAGTAGCAGCTACTACGAATAGGAGCCTGGCAAGGTCCACAAAGCCCTGTATGGCAAGGTCGGGGACAAGTATGTACTCCACATGCCATCATCTCGCCACACACAACACCGCAACTCCAACCATCATATTTCGTGTCCACACAATGTCTTTGTGACGACGATTTGCCACAGAAACAATCAATTTGAGGGCCCAATGCCTGACATTTGGGATGCGGTCCAGGGTGACAAGGCACCTGGCACACATGGGGACAATTTGAATACTCTGCGGCACAAGTCTCCCCACAACTATGCGGAGGAAACAAGGGTGACTGATCTGGGTTCTCAACTTTCCCGCACCAGCAGCGATACCGTTGTGGTATATCCTCGCGTGATGTCTGACATCCCGGACATCGCCACGGCTGACTCTCGAATGGCTGAGATGGGTTGTTTTCCGCTCCTGTAGTCTTGAGCTGCTTTGCCCACTTTTGAATGCAGTTGACGTGGAAAACACGATAACACGTGCCGCAAGTCCAGATTCGTGATTTCCGAGTAATAGAGTTGATGCAAATCATGCACTCGTACGCGCCAGTGTGTATTTCCTGTAGGATACTGGCCGACAACGAGTTCGCGTTCAGGTCAAGGCCGAAGAAATAATCCGCCAGATCCAAAGTTGCGAACGGAATGTCTTGTTTCGCATACTGATGTTGATAATCGTCAAAATTGTCGTCGGTCTGTGTGTTTACGAGCCCCGGCAGCGTTAGTTGCGTTCCGAAAGTTGAAGGAATAGTCCGTTGTCTTGTGCTTCGTTGGCTATTCGCGTTGCCATTTCTTCCTCCACGTCTTCTATGCCTGCTAGACTGATCTGCTGTAGCCTCATCACGCTGCTGTTCGCCATCAGCGCGGCCGCCATGCTGGGTGCGAACCCGGTGTCGCGTGCCTTGCTTGCCGTGCTCTTGAATATCAATTCGGCGATCGTCAAACGTAGGTGAATCTTCATGTCGCGCAGTCACAGTCGTTGCCGTCCGTATATTATTAATGTCGGATTCCATCTGCTGTTTCTGGGCACGGTTACCGTTATTATTCCGTCGCGGTCGATTCCCAGCCCGCTCAGTCGCCATGTCGCTGGTTACCGATTCATGACCCCGCTGCTGGGAAACACTCCCCTCGGACTGCTGGTCTTGCTGCTTCGTATTTCTAGGCTTTCGCTGCTGTCCCCTATTCTGTAATCCAGGCACCGAAGACGAAGATCCACTCTCTCTTATAGTATCAGGTAGTGGCACCACAGCACTCTGAATACCACGATGTTGCATCTCAACACCAGCCATATGTTCTGATTGCTCTTGAAACAACTTTATCCCAAACGAACTCGCAAAAGTTAAACTTATTGTCAAATATTAGTGGAATCAAGGTTGTTCAGAAGTAATACGAGTATCAGTCAGTACGATTTCGTAGAATATTTCACACGGCAACGGCGTGGCGGTATTAAGTAATTCTCGGAGACAGCGCAAATCTGCGCCACTGTGGCGCTTGTCTGTCACGAAGCAAATATTCCGCAGTTGAACTCATAGCTCACAAGCCGTGCGGCTCAATTATAGCGTGGCGCATACGGATTGATAGTGAGTAATACTTTCAACTTAGGCTGAGTAAATATCAGCTTGTCCAATTTGCGGACTTTTTTTTTTGTGACCACGTAGTGGTGAGTAATATATGTCAAGTAGCTCTGTAATAATCGTCATGGAACTCTTGTAACGCTTGTGAAAACACGGCAAGCTGGTGTAGTGCTGCCTCTTGCGGTATTTTTAATGACTGAGAAGTAAGGTGTGAAATTGGGACTGTTATTTCTTAAGATACAACTAAACTATCATCTAAACCAGCTCTTAGATCGTACGCGTATAAATTACGCCGCACTGGCGCATTCGAATCATTAAAAGTACGTAAACGTGTTGTACAATTCACTAATATACATTTCAGATCAAACCAGCGGCCAACAACTTCTAAACTGTCCTACACTTTACTCTGCCTTGTCTACAATATACTACAGCCATACACCACCCAGCCAAGCTTTTCATGCTCGTTCTCATCCTTTTTCGGCCGCAGATACGCTCGAATTGTAAGATCAACCCACACACGTTGAGTGCCCTCGTTCGGCGAAGAGTAAATCTTCCACAATTTTTCCTGTA